CCATGACAATGTGATGTAAACACCATCCTAACACATTCCCCATGACAACGTGATGTAAATACCATCCTAACACATTCCTCATGACAATGTGATGTAAACACCTTTCAAACACTGTCCCCATGACAACGCGGTGTAAACACCTTTCAAACACTGTCCCCATGACAATTTTCAGGCACTCTATTAACTTTTTCTTGTAACCTTGTAATCTTGTAACCGAACCTCTGAAAAGAGATCCAGGAAGTGGTTACAAGAAAAAGTTAATAGAGTGCCTGAAAATTTTGGAGCAGGACAAGGCTATTGACCGTTTTCTGTACCACAGACTGTACCCAGGGGAGGCCACACCTAGTATGTATGGTTTACCTAAAATCCACAAACAAGGTGTACCTTTAAGACCAATTGTTAGTATGATTAACTCTGTCACTTACAATGTTTCCAAATATCTGGCGTCTGTACTCATCCCTTTAGTTGGCAGCACAGAACACCACATACAGAACACCATGGACTTTGTGGACAAGGTGAGGGATGTCATCATGGAGACTGATGAAACAATGGTCTCTTTTGATGTCACATCACTCTTTACGTGCATTCCTGTTGATGATGCAGTAGAGGTGGTCAGTTTAAAATTAAAATCAGACACCACTCTGAGCAGCAGGACCACACTTTCCACAGAACAACTGTGTCAACTCTTGAAACTGTGCCTGCAGTCAACCTACTTCACATATGGGGAGCAATTTTATAGGCAGAAACATGGGTGTGCTATGGGGTCTCCAGTTTCTCCTATTGTTGCCAACCTGTACATGGAGGTAGAAAAGAGAGCCTTGACGTCCTTTTCAGGGACACCACCAAGTCATTGGTTCAGGTATGTTGACGACACCTGGGTTAAAATCAAATCTCAGGAAGTCCAACATTTTACTGACTACATCAACTCTGTGGATAAATACATCAAGTTCACACGAGAAGATGTAAAAAATGGCAGGTTGGCTTTCTTGGACTGTGAGGTCTCAGTCTCTGATAGAGGACATTTGCAAACTGAGGTGTACCGCAAACCCACCCACACAGACCAGTATTTGCAGTTTGACTCCCATCACCCTTTGGAGCACAAGTTAGGA